TGATCTCCTCATTAGGAGTTGATGAATATTATAGGGTTTCTCATTGTTTAACAGCAAAATCTATGTGGGACTTATTGCAAGTTGCCCATGAGGGAACCAATGATGTTAATCTAGCGAGAATCAATACGCTAACACAAGAGTATGATCTCTTTCACATGGAGCAAGGGGAAACCATTGCGGACATGCAAAAGAGATTCACTCATCTTATCAATAGATTGCACTCACTAGGTAGGCCAGTTGCCAATGATGTTGCTACTAACAAAATTTTGAGATGTCTTAATAGGGAATGGCAACCGAAGTTAACCGCCATCAAAAAAGCTAACAACCTCACAATTTTGGATCTCACAACATTGTTTGGAAAGCTGCAAGAGCACGAACAAGTGCTTCTAAGCCTAGAGCAATATGAAAAGAAGGAAAAGAAGGAGAAAATAAAAATAACTAAAAAGAAGTCTATTGCTCTCAAGACTTCTTCCTCAAAGTCTCAAACTAAGGAGCATAGTGATTACACTTCGAGTGACGACAAAGATGATGACAAGAGTGAGGATATGGGGCTGTTTGTAAAGCGTTACAACCGCTATGTCAAAAAGAACGGCATCCAACACTCCGATAAAAATCTTGTCAACTTCCAGAAGCAATCAAGGTACTCTAGAAATGACGACACTTAAGGAAACAAGACAAGAGGGTCATGTTATACTTGCGGAAATACCGAACACTACAAACCGGATTGTCCCTTGAACAAAAAGGGAAAAGAAAAAGAAACAAGTAGATCACATAAGAAGCAATCTAAGCCAAGGAGAGCGTATATAGCTTGGGAAATCGATAGCGATTCCTCCGAGGATGAAAGCTCAAGTGATGAAGATGAATCCGTAAATCTTTGTCTTTCCGCCCATCAAAAGAACAAAAAGAAACATGTACGACATGCCAAATATGAAAATTCCTCTAAAATGTCTCATTTTGAATTACAAACTACTTTTAATACTTTGCATTGTGAAGCAAAAGAAACCTTTAAAAGGCTTGCCTCAAATAACCAAATCTTTGCTCACCTTGAGCAAAAGATTTGTGAGTCCGAAAAGAAACTTGAGGCACTAAAAGCTTCTATAGTGGAAAGTACAAAAGTAGGTTGTGAGGATCTAAGAAAAAGAGTTGTTAATTTTAGGTGTGACACTTGTTATATTTGGCAAAATGAAGTTAGAAACCTAAATGCCAAACTTAACAAGGCTCTAGAGCCCAAAATTACTTTTGTCATTGATAAAGCTAATTTTAGAAAGAGTATGGTTAATCCATATCAAAAATACACATATGTTGTAAGAAACAATGATAGCAAAAGTAATTCAAAAGTTAACTTTTTTTGCTTGTATTGTTGCAAGAAAGGCCACACCATTGCTAAATGCCGTTTTAGGAGATTTTTGGTTCCTAAAGGCATTTATCAATGGTTGCCTAAATGCGACCATTTTGTCACTCACAACATAGGACCCACTAAGCCATTGGGTACCTACTCTTGTTAATTGTTTTTAATAGGTACAACATCTTGAGATCATCGAGAGAAGATGGGTTCTCGATAGTGGTTGCTCAAGACACGTGACAGGAGATATATCTCTCTTCATAGACTTTGTGGCAAAGAAGAAGGGATATGTAACCTATGGAGACAACAACCGTGGTGCAATACTAGGAAAAGGTAGTGTAGGTAATCCCTTTTCCACTACTATCTTTGATGTATTGCTTGTCGAGGGCCTTAAACATAATCTCATTAGCATTAGCCAATTATGCGACAAAGGATACAATGTATCGTTTTCAAAAGATTGTTGCCGAATTGTGCATAATGATGAAATGAATAGTGTGTTTAATGGCCTAAGAGTAAAAATGTCTATATGTTGAACTTGGATGAAGTATCTTTGATAAGTGATAAATGTCTCATGACAATGAGTGAGGACTCATGGTTATGGCATAGACATTTAGCACATGTCAACTTTTACTTGCTAAACAAGGTACTTTCAAAAGATCTAGTCATAGGTCTGCCCAAAATTAAGTTCACCAAGGATCACCTTTGTGATGCTTGCCAAATGGGAAAGCAAACGAGTATCTCTTTTAAATCTAAAAACATTGTTTCAACTATGAGACCTCTTGAGCTTCTCCATATGGATTTATTTGGGCCATCTAGAATTAAAAGTATAGGTGGTAACTATTACGATTTTTTAATAGTTGATGATTTCTCTAGATTCTGTTGGACTATTTTCTTGACTAGCAAGAGCGATACATTCGCTGACTTTGAAAGATTTGCTAAGCTTTCTCAAAATAAATTAAACACGAACATAATATCAATTAGGAGTGATCATGGAGGTGAGTTTGAAAACCATTTGTTTGAGGAATATTGCGGTAAGCACGGTATTGATCATAACTTCTCTGTTCCATGTACCCCTCAACAAAACGGGGTTGTGGAGCGCAAAAATCGTATTTTGGAAGAGTTAGGGAGAACCATGATCTATGGAAGTGCATTACCTAAGTATTTTTGGGCTGACGCCATAAGTACGACATGTTATGTATTGAATAGGGTGCTTATCCGCCCAATTCTAAACAAAACATCGTATGAACTTTTAAAAGGGCGCAAGCCAAATGTTTTTCATCTTCATGTCTTCGGTTGTAAGTGTTTCATGTTGAATAATGGAAAGGAAAAATTAGGTAAATTTGATTCCAAGGCCGACAAAGGTATCTTCCTCGGATACTCTCAGTCAAGTAAAGCCTATAGAATATACAATAAGAGATTACTTACCGTTGAAGAGTCTGTACACATAACATTTGATGAATCTTATCCGAGAAATGTCGGAAAAGGTAGTGTTATTCATGGTGCAGGTATATCTTCGGAAGACATACTCAAAAGTGCTGAGTCGGGAATTGATCAACCCGACCTAGCCAAAGTTGAGGAGGAAAAAGATGGCCGCCATGAAGAAACTGAGGTAGTTCATCCGTCTGATAAAGATGATCTTCCTCCAGCTTGGAAATCTTCCAAAGACCATCCTATCGACAATATCCTCGGTGATATATCAAAGGGGGTGACGACTCGGTCTAAGATAAGTAATTTCTGTTATCACTTCGCTTTCGTTTCTCAGATGGAACCTAAAAACCCGAAAAAAGCCTTACTCGATGAACTTCGCTTTCCTTTTTTGCTCAGAGGTCAAGGCATCTATGTTGTACATTTCCCTTATCTAAGAGTGTTGTACTGGAAAGTTACGAGGACGGAGAACCTCAGGTGGAGTATGATTGACACTTCTTCCTCCAAAGTCGGGTGAGGGAATCTAATATCCTATAATTTAGTTAGGACTTGGTGACCTCATAACTGTTATGTGCAATGAGGTTGCGTATACCAGAACCAACTGCAATATGACTATGTGGTCACCATGCGAAGCCGCCTCGCACAAGATGTTAGTTCTCGAAGGAGCGCGTTATAGGGTACTTCAATGAGTATCTAGTTGGCTAAGGCTTGGGAGTTTTGCTGCTTCACCAAGTCATGGACATTGTTCACTAGGTCAATAACTCATTTCATGCCTATGTTAGCTTGAAATTATTGAATATTCTGAAGCATCTATTGCTCATATATTAAAAGTTGGGATGTTGGTTGTTGTGAAGGTTGTCCTTGGCAAAAAGGTTGTAGAGGTTGGGAAAACGGAAATTAGAGGAACAAGATTTTGTTGCATATAACAAATAGAGAGGCCACTAACTCTTATAGTACAAGATCATCCTCTATAGGATGAAAATGTGGAGTTAGCTTCAACAATTGTCGCAACGGTGTGACGTTGAACAACGAATCTAGTAATCTTCGATGTCACCATGGCTTTGTAACTTCGATATGTAATTTGTTCGAGAAAAATATTGTTGTTTAGTGAGAAGCAGATCAATGATTTGTGTTTCGATGAAGAACTATGGTTTTTATGGAAAATTTGTGAGAATTAGAAGTCAAATCTCATAGGTCATGTCATTGTTTCGCTCAAGGACCTAGAGATAAGTGATGAAGTGATAGAATGAGGCTCAGACATGTTAGATCAAACCTAAGGTGGATCGAATTTCTGGTGCGGTAAAAAAGGGTGACATATTAGCACTCAAACGCTCAAGTCAGTGATTGAATGAAAAATAGTTTATAATTGTGAATGAATTAAATACTTGTAATGGCGTGATCTGATTTTTATAAAATATGTCTGATTAAAATTATTTGTGTGTGATTCAACTTCTTGTGTCGGACGTTTGATTATATTCAATAATAAAAGATATAACGAAATCCGTAATTATATGTTCTCGACGAGAATTCACTTGTTTCGTGTGTCTCTCTTCAACATATTATTACAAATTTTGTTTTTTTAGACATTGCGAACCAACTAATACAGTTTCTATATTTAATTGTCCTTCTCCATTATTGGCCTTTTTATCGTTAAAAAAATAAAATAAAATAACGTTTATGTAAAAATGACAAAAGAAGTACTACTAGTAGTTTTTTTTAATTAAAAAAAACCTCACATCTAGTAATTAAATAAATTATAATAAAGAGAAATGATATGCCTACAATTATTTTAACACCTACACCGTATATTCATACACATCAGTATACTTTTTCTTTTATTTATTATTTTTACAAATAATTGAAATTTGTGCCAAATAAAAAATCAGAATGGAAGTGCTACGGTGTATCTATAGGATGTCACAATTTTAGTGTAAATATAGCATTCCTCTATAATAAAAAAGACGGAATGTTTTAGGAAAGACGTGAACTTGTAGCACAAAGTCAAATTCAGAAAGTTTCGCTATCCAAAGAAAAATCGTAACTTTAGTCAAATTTTCATGAAAATAAGTAAATTTTAATGGGAGCTTTATTTAATTCTGGATTCTCACCTACTCACGAAATTAATATCATCATAAAACTCTTTAATTTTAATTCTCACCACAAACAATATTTAAAGCTTAAAGCTACCATATAGTCAATTCTAGACAACTCTCTGTCAGAAAACCAATCAACCATGGCAGAACAAAAACAATCAATAGTGCTATTCCCATTCATGGCACAGGGTCACATAATCCCATTTTTAGCCTTAGCCTTCAACCTCGAACAGAAATCCAAAAACTACAACATCGCCATAATTAACACTCCTCTCAACATCCAAAAACTTCAACCCTCTATTCCACCACACTCCTCCATCAAACTCATCACCATCCCTTTCATCTCTTCCGACCACAACCTCCCACCTAGCATAGAAAACACCGACACTGTCCCTTATAGCCTCGTGATCAAACTCATCGAAGCTTCTCTTTCCCTCAAATCACCTTTCAAAAACATCATTGAAAACATCCTCACCCAACAGCATAAAGTCTGCATAGTTTCTGATATTTTCTTCGGTTGGACTTCAACCATCGCTAAAGAACTCGGTGTTTTTCATGTTATTTTCAGCGCTAGCAGTGGCTATGGTTTAGCTTGTTATTATTCTCTATGGATGAATCTCCCTCACAGATTCACAGACTCTGATGAATTTCCGTTAACAGATTTTCCAGAAGCGCGTTTGATTCAGAGAAATCAATTACCCAACAATATCTCACAGGCGGATGGGTTCGATGATTGGTCGGTTTTTCAACGGAAGAATCTCTCTGACTGGGTTAATTCCGATGGAATTTTGTTCAACACAGTTTCAGAATTCGACTCGGTTGGACTAAATTACTTCGTTCGGAAACTCGAAATTCCGGTTTGGACGATCGGACCGTTTGTTTTGGCTAAATCACGAGGGAAAGGAAGTGAAATAAACCCTAACTTTTATAAAGAATGGCTAGATTCAAAGCCATTGAATTCGGTTCTGTTCGTTTGTTTTGGATCTATGAACACGATTTCGTCTGAACAAATGATGCAACTAGGAATTGCGTTGGAGAAAAGTGGAAAAAATTTCATTTGGGTAGTGAGGCCACCGATTGAATTGGACATAAACTCAGAATTCAAGCCTCAAGAGTGGTTACCGTCAGGGTTTATGGAGAGGATTCTAGAAACAAAGAAGGGTATAATAGTAAATAACTGGGCTCCTCAAGTTGAGATTTTGTCACATGGGTCAGTTTCTGCGTTTTTGAGTCACTGTGGTTGGAACTCGGTGTTGGAATCGTTGAGTCATGGTGTACCGATTCTCGGTTGGCCTATGGCAGCTGAACAGTTTTTTAACTGTAAGTTGTTGGAAGAAGAGATTGGTGTTTGTGTTGAGGTTGCTAGAGGGAAGAGCTGTGAGGTGAAGAATGAAGATATTGTTGAGAAAATTGAGTTGGTTATGAGTGAGAGTAGTGAAAATGGGTTGAAGATTAGAGAAAATGCTTTTAAGATTAGGGAGATGATGAAGAATGCTGTGAGAGATGAAAATGGTGATGGGTTTAAGGGTTCATCTGTTAGGGGTATTGAAGAGTTTTTAGCCGCTGCTGGGAAGAGCAATAAGGGGATAGTGAATGAGTAATTTGTTTTTGGAGATTAGAAATTTGAGTAATATGTTATTGTTAGTTGAATTTGAATCTATTTTCATGAAAATTGTGATGTGTGTGCAGTGAAATGACATGATTGTTTTTCTAATATAGTTTTGTTTGTTATAGTAATATATGCAAGTGTTTCCTTATTTTGTTTGTTTTTATAGACGTGAAAGAGGAATACACAAGGTTAATAGGATTTGGAAGGGAAGTTTCTCAGAAATATGCAAGTGGTGGTTATGTGGACAAATATTTTAGGCAGAGTTGGTCGATTTCAATTGTAGACCAAAATTTCTTTTCATTTTAAATTTTAATAGTAAAAAAGGACCACTTTTGCAGTTTTGCATAGTCTATAGATTAATTTTAAAACAATTGAAAAACTATTTAAATTTAGACGGATTGATATTTTTTTCCAAGGGAATTAGTTTTGGTGCGGTAGATAAAGAGTGTATATGTTAGTATAATTTTTTTTTCAACCAGCAAGATAAAGAGTGATTGCTAAAAGGTAATAAATTAGATAATCTGTAAAATTGAGCATTTTATTATTGTTTTTATGTGCTATTGCTTCCTCCGTATTATCTATCAATCATCTAAAAATTTACAAATAAAATAATAAAAAAAAAAAAAAATAAGTTATGAAATAAAGTCCCATATATAAAAAGATTTTGATAAAGAAAAGTTAAGACTTAAGAGAGAACTCTTATTGAACATAAAAACTAAATTTACACTAACTAATTGCATACAATTAGTGGTTGTGAAAAAATATTTGGAAATAGCAAGCAGAAATATTAAGTTTTTATAATAAATATAAAACTCATAATAAATATAAAACAATGGTAGTGTCACTGTTTTAAAAATTGAATCGAACCGGTCAGTTGGACCGGTTGAACTGGGAAGATCTGTGCGTTCCCACGGTTTATTAATTTTAATTAGTAAGTTCCTTCTATTTTATATTAAAAGTAAATTTCGTCTTTTTAAATTTAAATAATTTATGTATTTGATTTATATATAGATCACATATAATAATTATTTAATGAACTTAAGAAGGTGAAATTTGTTTACTAATACAATATATAATAGTATTGCATGCATCTTTAAATATAAAATGAGTAATTTAAATATGTAATTCTTATACTGACCATAAAAGTTTGGAACATTTTTTAACAACAAAGACTGACATCACCTGATCAACAGTGCTGGCTGGCCAAGCTTTTGGGCTATCAATTTGAGGTTAAATATAAGCCTGGGTTAGATAATAAGGCTGCAGATGATCTATCAAGGTGTCATGGTGTTGCACCCTAAAATTTGACCAACAATTTCTCGCAATTTGGCTTATGTTTCGATTCATTTTGCAATTGCATTTGCATATGGCATACATTGCATTTTTTTCAGTCAGATTGACTTTATCGGGATTACAGTCTCTTCTCGCGTTTCAGGCATTTCATACCAGTGCGCATACGAGGATGTGTTTTGGGAATTTGTGCTCGTCCCGGTGTTTTTAGCTTTTGACTGTTGTTTTTGAGGACATCTCGGTGTCCGGTTTTTACCGTTTATTTCATTATATTCTCGCATTTTTTTTAATTGATTTAATTGGTTTTTATGGCATTTTCTAGTTTTTCCATTAATTTCTAGAATTTTAAATAGATTTTAGAATATATTTTAAATAGGATAATTCTTTTTTCTAGGATACAATAGAGTTTAATGGATTTTAAATCATTTTTCTAGATTTAGTTTTTTTAGATATTAATTGAATTTGTTAGAAGTTAATAGATTTAATTCATTTTATAGATTTAATTCTTTTAGATTTAATTTGTTTAGAAATTAATCGATAGTTAATTCCTTTTTTTAGATATTAATGGATGTCTTTTAGAAACTAACAGGTTTAACTCTTTTAGATTTAATTTTTTTAAGAAATTAATAGAGTTAATTGTTTTCTTAGATTAGTTTAATTCTGTTTAGAACTTAGTGGGTTTTAATTTCTTTTAGAATTAATAATTAGATATTAATTAGGATTTTAATCAAATTAATTAGGATTAATTAGCTTTGATTAGCTTATTCAGTTTTTAATCATTTTCATTTTAGCACTAATCCTTTCTTTAACCATTAACCGAGTTAATTAGGTATTAGCTAGCATTAATCATCTTGATTAAGTCTTTAATTGAGTCCATTTTGTGGGCCAGATGTCATTTTCGTAGGCCCAGTCCAGTCTACTTGCCACATGTCATAGTATAAAGGCTCCCACGTTTTTCTCTCTCCGCACGCCACCTCACACTTCGCTTCCACCTCACACACACACACGTGTCTCCCACTCCACCTCTCTCTCCCATGTGTATTGCCATGTTTCCCCAGCCATCTCACCTCACCGCCGGCCATGCAACCGCCGTCGGAAGTTCACCGGAACTCCATAACCGTCACCAGAACCACCGCAACTATCACCGGACCTTCTAACGGTCGCCGGAAACTGCAAATCTCCACCATTCATTCATCCAAAACTCATCTGATCTTCATCTTCCTCCAGTTTTTTCATCAATCATTCTCCATCAAACTCCATAATCATCTTCATCAGTTCTTCATCTTTTCTGCCCAGATCTTCAAGAACATCACCGTGTTCTTCACCAGATCTCCAGAATCTCAAGAATCTATAAGATCTTCGTACAAGTTTCATCCAAACCTTCATCCTGTCCAGATTCCTCAGATCCATCAAGATCAAGACCTTCACCAGATTTCCAAATTTATTCAATGATCTTTAAGAGCTTCATCTTCTTCGTGAAGACTCTAAAGAAGATTTTCCAGAACCTTCCTCCAAGATTCATCCGTAACCGTTTTTAGAAGCCCTAAACTTTCATAGATGTTCATCCTTTCTTCAAGAACTTTCGTACTCCATTCATATGCTTTCCAGATCCTCAAGATCCAAACGAAAACCTCCTTCAACCTTGTTTCAGCAAACACGAACGAACATTCACAAATCTTCAGCATGCAATTGAAGCTTCAAAGATCTTCAAACAATCACGCAATTTCAGATCCGTCATAGCTTCCACACGGACTCAACTATGGCTTGGATCTTTAAACGTTTTCCAGAGGATCTCCATCACCTTCATCGTGTTTGTCGTTGCCATCTTCAGCGCGCTTTCATGAAGCTTTGATCAACAAAATTCTGAACAAGAAGGAGAAGTGGTGAGGAAGAAGCTGAGATGAGACGAGGAGGATAGGTCTTGGACGGCGGCGGTGAAGGCTGAGTGAGAAAGGAGAAGAAACTAGGGTTTCAGATTGAAGATGGGAGATGGAAGGAGAGGAAGGGCCTTGGTGGGCCTCGGGGCCCAATTTGCTTCAGTTGCTGGACCGTACCCCTTTTTCCTTAGACGCACCCTCTGTTTCTGTCTCTTCTGTCTTTGGGCCTACAAACCAACGAGGCTAATCTCTTTCCAGGCCTTGCACCACCCAATTTCCAAACACGCCCCCTGCTGGAATTGTTTTGTTGATTGTTGGGCTGGGCCCTGCGAATTGCTGACTACACTCCTGCTATTCAGATTGCACCCCCTTTTTCCCTTTTGTTTTTTGTTTTTCTTGCTGGTTGTATTGTGGGCTGGGCCCAGTGGTGTTTTTTGCTGCTTCACCCCTGTTTAGTGGCTGTACCCCCTTCCCTTTATTTTTCAATTCTTGCTTGTATTGGACATTTGGTTGTAATAATTGTAGTTTTATTTTTTTCTATTTTTCTTCTAGGATTATAGTTTATTTTTTAGAATATTAGCATAGATTTTATATGGTAGAATTTATAGTCCTTTTTTCTTTTAGGAAATTATAGAAGATTATAGAAAATTATGCTTAGTATAGATTTTGCATTCTATTTTTTTATAGCAAATTATAGAATATTGTGCATAGGATAGAATTTCCATTATATTTTCTATTATGCAATTTACTTAGATATTTCTTTAGAGTATTTTCTATTAAGAATTTATTTTCAATTTTAGGAGTAGAATTTTATTTTCATTTGTGATTGGATTTCTCTCCTCATTTCTTTTCTGCTATCCGATTTTACTCTGATTTTATTCTGTGATGGCCGTGTGACATGATTCAATTGGAGAATGATTTTCGATATCATTTCTCTATCTTGTCTTTGACACGGATATCAATACGCTACCTCTGAGAGTTTGATTTATCGTATAAGTCAAATCATGACGGTCTAAGCGTTACATTGATTCTGATTTGAGATATTCTCATCAAGGATCCAGAGAGGAGAAGATTGGAATGGAGTTTGCGCATATGTCGAGAGCCAACGGAGCCGCTTCGTTCGATATCATCTTTCTTGTTCAAGTCTTCGTGCAACCATCGAGTGTTGTGAGTTGTATCGTTAGATACGTGGGAAATGGTGGTTGAGGGGTTTCCTCTCAATCGTATAGAGTGTTTAGTGTGGCACCCTTTAGGTGACAGGCGACGCATTCGCTCCTACGTCTTAGGTTCTTGCGTGTGTGTCCCGAGTTCCTTCCCGTTTAGGCGTTAAGTCTTCTTCCTCTTTGCTCTCGCCCCCGTGCGATCAAAACCCTTTTCTCTCGCATCCAGGCGATTGAGACCCCTTCTCTTGCCCCTGTGCAATCGAGACTTGCTTTTCCGCATGCGCCGAACTACGTTTGCTCTGATCTTTCACGCCGTGTGAAAGTACGTAGGCACGAGATGCGATATCTCGGCGAGCAATTTCCCCCGTAGTTTCCCGAACTACGTTGACTCTGACTTTCCCATTGCACGAGGGAATACGTAGGCATAGAGCGCGACGCTCTATCGAGTCTGTTTCTTTCCGTTTAGCTTTAGCAGCCGTAGATAGATTGTTTTTCACCCGTAGATAAACACAACAAGCGTGGATCCCATCGAGTACGATGGACGTGAGGGGTGCTAATACCTTCCCCTTGCGTAACCGACTCCCGAATCCAGACATTGGTTGCGATGACCTTATCTTATACCTTTTCGTTAGGTTTTTTCTGATCGTTTCCTTTCCCTTTCT